ATATTTATTATCGCAGTTGTTTGGGTTGCTTCAAGTGTTTCATTTGATATTATACGAGTTACTGCGTTGAAGACTAATGATTTTCCTGTATTGCAGTGCCAAAAGCTGTTGGCTTTTTGTAAACACAACAAACTATATAGTTTACTTTTATAGAGCGACCATAAATTTCCATTGTAAAGCTTAGTTATTCTAAAAATTTCATGCGTCATGCGGCGACAACAAAAAAATCAGCAAGAGCAAAAACTCCTGTTCATTACCCACTGCGAAAGCAGATGCTGTATGGACCGGAGAGACGCAGAGAGGGGTGCGGGAGCGGCAGGGTTATGGTGGATATAGTCTGGACTTTGTTCAATTGCCCAAGTGGCGACGCGTCTGCCTCGATGGAGAGATACAAAAGCGCAATTGGCATCAGTTACAGCTGCACAATTCTGGATAAAATTAATGCACAACTGCATGTGCAATCAATTCTGGGGTAGGCAGCACTAGGGGTAGCTGGGGCGGGGCGGGCCGGGAGGCTGGGTGGCTGTTGGAAAATTTGTATGCACTTGAGCAACTTGTGTAGAGCTCATCGTGTGGGTGGGTGGATGGGCGGTTGGGCAGTGTTGTCTTGGGTGCATTTTCTTTCTCTTTGCTTTGGCTTGTCAAAACTACGATGGCAATGAGCTGAAGGTCACAGAGGGGCGTCGGGCGGTTAGGTAGGCAGCTAGCCATAGACAACAAACAATAATATTAATGGCAGCAATCAGCACTTGGCGATCACAATTAAAATTGATGTCAACAGCTCACAAAATTGCGTCTAAATAATCGACGCTGCCCTTCGCTCAGCTGTGGACGGATGCTGCTGACCCAGAGATACGAATATACCGAGAGATCCTCTTGGTTCTACTTTGTCTTGCATTTTGTTTGTTTTCTTTTTGCGCAACAGTTCGCAATTTGCATAAACAAACGAATAGACAATAGCAACAACACACACACACTGTGATGGCCATAAATCATAGCGCCAAAAACTTTGAATATGTTTCGCCTCCGTTCCCTCCATCTCCACAGCCTCCCGCTGCCCCCTGCTGCCGCTGCTGCTACTCTGCACTTGAACAAAGTGTACTTAACAATTTTTAGTGCGCTACTCAAGAGGGCGTGTGCGAGGGTTGAAGGCAACCAAGCAGGCGAGCTCATCAATTATAAACAAATCACATGTTTATCTATTATATATTCGCAATATATCAAATGTTAGCTTCAACTTACGAGTCATTAAATCCAGACTGTAGTTAGTTGCCATTGAAAATTGGAAATCTGGGTATAATAGGCTTGTTTATATTCCAACTATAATAAACTAGAATACGTGGAGAGTATGGACTAGCTTTCAGTTTATAAATTTGTAGACCCTGAACCCATTGAATGGAATGCTTTATATGAATATCAGAATGCGTCGTTTCTATAAGAACTAGTGTTTTCTTATATCTGATGAACAGCCTTAATAAATAT